GTATTGTACTGACATAAGTTGCTGAGTATTGAACTGACATGAGTATCTGAGTACTGGAAACTTGAATGTTATAGCATGACACGTGAAATACTGGCTGTACCACCGCTAATTCTGGTGGCAACTCCAACTCATAAGCTAATTGATCGATCCTTTGCAAGATTCTATATGGCCCAATATAGCAGGGACTATCTTCCCCTTCTTCCCAAATTTCATAACGCCTTTCATAGGCGAAACTTTCAGAAACACCCAATCATCAACTTGAAACTCTAGGTCTCTGTGCCGCACGTTCAAATAGGACTTTTGGCGGCTCTGAGCCGTCTTCAAACGCTCTTGAATCAACTTAACTTTCTTTATAGTCTGATAGACCAAATTTGGTCCCAACAACTCCTCTTCACCAACTTTGAAGCAACCAATTGGCGATCTACACCTTCGCCAATACAATGTCTCGTGTGGTGTCATCTTGATACTAGAATGGTAGGTGTTATTATTAGAAAACTCAATGAGAGGTATGTGATCATCCCAATTGGCTTTAAAAATCAAGGATATCCTCAAGTGTTTGAATAATGCGCTCTGCTTGTCCATCTTTCTGAGGATGGAAAGCTTGTGTCTAATCCTTTCTGAAATGACTTCTAAAAGTTCATTGTAAACTAAGCACCACAGTCCGAAATGATGGACGACGGAGTCCCACGCAATCAGACGATTTCCTGAATGTATAACTTGGTATAATCTTCTGCTGAATCTGTAGTTTTTACTGGAAAGAAATGTGCTGACTTGGTAAGTCGATTTACAATCACCCAATCAAATGAGCTTTCAAGATGAGCAAGATAATCCTGTTATAAATTCCACATTTACCATCTCCACTCAAAAATATGTGTAAACTATGGTAAAACACTGGGCTTTCTGTTACTCGACTTTCATTTACTGATACTTCGGTCACTTGGACACAAAGTCTGTGACGTTCTCTCTCTCTCTCTCTCTCTCTCTCTCTCTCTCTCTCTCTCTCTCTCTCTCTCTTTTTCTGTGTGTCATTCCACCAATAAATCTCCTTGAGATCATGATACATCTTTGGGGAACCTGGGTGGATAGAATACCTGAAATTATGGGCTTCTAACATCTTCCTCCCTCACTAAGTCCATCTATGGTTGGAACACACAATCTATCATGGTACCTCAAAGTACTATCATCTCCCCCTTGTTTAAAAGCCATCATCTTATGACTGTGAATCCCCTCTTTCAGCTACAACAAGTAGGGGTCATCAAACTATTTCTCCTTCACTTCGGCTACCAAGGAGGAACAAGTCCTGTTCTGGACAATAATTCCACCATCTTCAGAATCCAAAAGCCGGACTCCCTGCTTGGCGAAGCGGTGAACTTCTTTCACCATAGTTCTCTTGTCTACCTCAATCATGAGTTATACTTCCCACACTTGATTATCTTCTTAAGCACTTCTTGTAAACACTTATAGTATTATTGTGAACTAAGTCTTTGACATGTACTCTAAATTTGAGAGTCTCGTTTAATGGCACTACCCTCATAACACATAAATAGGCATGATTTTATAACTTTTCTGTGATCACTTTATCATCAATAACTAAGCTCGGTGATCATTCTACTCACTTTGTGTTTCTTACACATGGTAGACATATTCCTTGTGGTAATTATACAATCTTCCCTCATTACCGAACTGATTTCTTTTTCATATCCCATGCTAACTATTCAAGTTTCAAATCTCTAACTGGACTTACTGAAAATTTTTACATCACCACTTAGACCAAAGGTCTTGTACTTGCGGATCCTTCTCTTTTTGTTGAGATCCAAATAACTTTCCTTATTTTCTGCAATTCTTTGCACTCTATGTCAATGACGACTTATCTTCCAACTTACTTCTGAGAAATCTTTCTTACTAGGAAAAACTAAATTATTCACTTAACGGAAAGCTAATGTATTCACAACTATCATACATAATCTTAATAATTTAACTCTGCTTACACTGTCAATCCAGGAGAAACCACATTTCGATAATTCCTAAAGGCTATTCTTCTATAGTTTGCTCTCTCACTACTAGCTTATCTTTTTCCCACTGCCACTGTACTTCGCGTTTAACTTAACTTGTCGGGTTCTAACATGCGTTCGGTGTTTCAAAATGTTACCCACTCACTAGTGTTAACTTTACTAAGTAAATCAAATTGTACTCCTACTAGCTCTGCTGAAATTGCTAATTTGTTGTATCTACACAAAACTTACTTAATATCATTTTACTAACCACCTGATAGCATCATATTTTCTTCTCCTGCTTTGAATAACTAAAGTGAAGTATAAGGTTATTTCTAATTCCCTCACCATCCGACCCTATTCTATGGTCGCATACTATCTTTTTTTTGAACAATGTACATGGATCACACTTAGGGAAAGTTCATATGTCTTAAACGAAATTTGAATATCTAACCCCAAACTTTCTATACACTTCAAAATCATATCGGACTATAAACATCTGGGGTGAACACTTAGTCACATAACCTAAAGGGGAACTGTCTTATCTTTTATCTCACAATAATAGCAGCTTCTTACAGTAATTCACTAACGTGGTACCTTCTAATTCTTATTTGAATAAACCTAAACAACTTAGAATCATTCCCTAAAATTCAATGTCGCCTGCTCTTGGTTCTCATTTCGTAAATCATATCTTTTTAGTCATATGAATGAGTAATACAAAAAAAAACACATCGTTGGTAATGACCAATGTTTCTGACTCCTAGATATTTTTCACTTAGGCCCTTTTTTTGTCCAAAACTATATGCCCTCTGCAGTTAAATTTTTAACCTGTTACGCCATAGGGTCTGACATCTGAACTATCATCATCCAACTTGTGGCTCTATTTCTATGAATCAAAAAAATGAAATTGTTTCATGAGGTAAAACACATATGGATACACTACCATACAGAAACTTATCCTTCAGAGTATACCATCATCTGATAAATCACTTCATGCAACGTCCATTGAGTCTTGGGTCTTAATCCGGACCTAAAATATGCGAAGATTTTTCTATAATCACTGTTACTTATATTTTCTTTGAGCACCCATATGCATCACAGTATACTCACAAGTCACCAGAAATTTTGATACACTGAAAATTGGATATTTGGTAAAGATATAATTGAATGCCGGCGTACTGAATAACCATAAACTTGCTAGCTGGAAGACCGTATAACTGGTAACTGAGGTAAACTAATAACCATAAAACATGATAACTGCTTTTGTACTTTCTGATAAGGTTATTCTCTAATATGTACTGCTATACATTGTATCCCACTTTCAATATCCTCTCAAGTCTCATTTGTTACCAACTTGTACTCCATAATTATACCCCAATAGGTGATCATATCCTCTAAGACCTTGGGTTTTTCTTGTCACTTGGGCATTCGATACGTATGGAATTCGATAAGAACATGAGGTTAACTATTTTTCTAAGATTCATGGCACGATCTAGAGTAGAAAGAAGTGGAACAATCCCGAATGTCTTGGTAGTTAACCGTTTATATGAGTGGCCAGCACACACATATAAAGGAAATTCCACTGGACACGGCTTTATAGACTCCCTATAAATCTTGAACCTAGTGCTCTGATATCAAGCTTTGTCACACCCCGAACCTGGGCCTGGACGTAACACGTCACCCGGTGCCTGACTACATGCAACCGAGCGAACCAACTGGCTGGCTGAATCAACATGTGATATCATAACATACAGAATGCGGAAGATAAACTAAAGCATGCTGATATACGGAAAGTTTGGATGATATAAATCAAAGTGCGAAAATACTAATACAATTCTGAAATATAATTATAGCCAACATAGCTTAATATGAAAATCCTACGACTCTGTCTAGTTGTTACTCTAGTCTATGAAGCCTTTAATGAAGTACTGAAAACATTGACTGTTTGAAAATACTGAAGACTGTAAGGTAATGATAATGCCCCAAAAGAACTGGGGATCACCAAATAGCTGGTACGAGAATCCTAGTGCTCTGAATCGTTAACCTCTAAATTACTTGCATCGTATCAGTACATTTGAATTGCACTGGTATGTAATGCAACTGAAAGAAAGAATTATAAATGCTGAAACTGAAACTAATTGATAACTAAGAATTGATAATTGATAACTGAAATGATAACTGATAACCGATAACTGATAACTAAATTGATAACTGATAACTGAAATGATAACTAATAACTCACTACTAAAAAATTGGTCTATGGTAACGGTTGAAAAACCGTTTCCATAGACTGTCAAACCGTTGCCATAAGGATATTGGAACGGTTTAAAGACCGTCACATCAGCCGGCGTGCCCATAGGTCTACTGGAACGGTTCTTGCAATGGTTTGCATCGTCGTGACAGTAGATACGTCTATCGCAACGGTTTTCCCTTTCTCTGTTGGAACGGTTATCTTCTTCAATTGGAACGGTTTTAAACGGTTACTATATTGTTTATACAACGGTTTTTAACCGTTACCATATTACTTAAAGCAACACTTATGTAAGCTATTGCTACGGTTATGTTGGATATAGCTACGGTTTGTTTAGGCTATCGTAACGGTTATATTTGTATTTGGAACGATTTGTAGATCATTTTGAAACATTTCATGGGACCTATTGCAACGGTTTACATTATCTACTGGAACGCCATTTGTGTCATATTGCAACGGTTCTGGTAGGCTATTGTATCGGTACAGTTAAAACTAAAATATAGCACCTGTTATAAATAAATATTTATACATATAATAAATTATAATAACACTCAAATTTAAATACAACATAAAATGAAACTATTATTAATACAAAATTATCCATCAAACAAATAATATCCATAAAGCAAATGTTCTACCCCATGAGTGCGTAAGTTTAGTACATTTCAAGAGAGTAAATAAGTTCAAAAATGTTGCTAACAAAAGATTCCTAGAACATTTATCTATAACAATTCAAAATTCATTTCAAGTAAGGTCTAGTTCTTCATCGTCTTCATCATCTATTTCTTGAGCTACTCCACCTACAAAAGAGGATAAATAAAGTTATTACCCTTCAAGCATGTGAATATTCCACCAAATTGGCCTGGAACCAGCATGTGACCCATTAAAAACTCACCTTCTAGTCCTCGAATTATAAGTATTCTTGAATGCATCTATCGACATCTAAACCATTTTAATTGTAAGGCTTATGATTCTTTTACTTCTGATTCTTTTGACAACTAGGTGCAACATAGTATAAAGTAGTTATAGGGTTAAAACTAATTTTAAATTCAACAAGATTTGAACCATAACCAACCTAGTTGCTTCAACCAAAACAGCTAGCAACTGAAGCAATTACCAAGATAGGTATATGCTAGATTACATTATTACATTGAGTCTGTAATTCTTTATACAACCTAGTTTGGTATATTCGGAGTTTGGTATATTACATTATAGTATTATACCAAGATAGGTATATTCTTTATACAACCTAGTTTGGCATATATGGGCAGCAAAATGGATTTTACTTCTGATTCTTTTGACTCAGGCACCAAAAAATAATTATGTTAAAACAAGACAAGAGATTCTGGATGCAATTACCTTGTGAGGATCGGAGTTCCAATATTTAAGATCTTTAAAGTGAGATTCCGGAATATCTACTGGACTATTCTCCATTCGAAGCTCATCATTCTCATAGGATGTGAAGTGAGTTGTCTTCAATTGACTCTTATACTTTCTCCAAGCACTACAAACTGATTCAAAAACCCATTGTTTCGCCTCGTCAGGAATGTCAAAAACATGTACAAGTTATAAACACCTTCAGCAGTTTAAACACCTTGGAATCGAAAAACTCTGGAATAAAACCCAGAAAGAGAGACACAGAAAAAGGTAACAAAAAGGTGGTGCATAGAGATTCCACAAAACAAAATGACGAGGACTCTATTCTTATGCACAGCTTGACCAAGATACATGCTTAATCAACTATACATAATCGGCAGCAAAACCAGCTCAAAAATTAATCAGACGCTACCTCATACATCAAACAAGAAATCCATAAGCAAGGAACTGGATATCAAACAAGAAAACCATACTCAAGGCATATCAATTCAGGGATCGTCTAAGAAACTGGATCAACTGAAGAATACCAATAGAATTACCAGAATCTAGATGTGTTATTCACATCAAACCATGAAGCTAAATTAAGGAAAGGGAGATTTTGTGCCACACCCCAAAATAACGTTACTTGGCATGTGGAGGTAATGTGATTTTTAATACCAATAAAGATTCAGTAGAAGAGTAGACTACTACTGCATTCTTTTAGATACCAATCCTTTCTCCTATGCATGGATGTAATGAACAAATGATGGATGAAGATCAAGAGTATGTGATAATGGACTAAGATTATGCAAACTCAGGTTTCAACTGGGTATACTATTGAAGACGGGTAGAGCAGATTAGTTTCTAGTCTACATAACGAACAAATAAGCACAAAAGAGGATCATATACTTAAAGAACATTACAGCCACGAGTAAATCATATAGGGTATACACCCAAGAGATCAACACCATAAGTTTACATTAACCTCTATTTTATTCAGGAAAAAAATGGAGCAGTACATCCTCCCAAAATCCTCCATAAAGTGAAGAAACAAAAATTAAACTCAAACCACAAAAATGAGATATCCCACATAATCGAAGAGTAGCCTGTAAATTCTACATGCACTATACAAAATACCTATAATTCTCGAATTAGACACCGGTATCGTCTAGGGATAATATAGACAGAAAAATTGACCTAAAACTAAGCTGAAGCTACCAGAGCGATTTGAGTGAAAATGAAAGCAGGTCTGTAGCCCATGACATTCAAGCCACCCTCATCCACGCCAAGAAAATGATAGATTCAAATAAGTTATGAAGAGGGGATGACTAATGATGGAATTGAGTCAAATATATACAAAAACCACCAGCAGACTAACAAACTAAGGTAACTCTTTGACTACCAAATTTTTTGAATATAGGGAACCCAAGCTAACTATATAAGTAAAATAATCAAAACATCTAAACTAAATAGGATGAAGAAAAATTACCTGTTCATTTGCACTCGGAGGAAGTCCACCCACATAAACTCGCCTTGGATGTCTAGTTGCCTGAGAAATAAGCACTCTCAGAAAACCAAAATGTTGCCTATATAAAAGAAATCAGTAAGTACCTGGAACAGCAGGAGCACCAGGTAACAGAGCAGAAGTAGGAGGTGCCATGTCAAACCCGCTGATCCTTTTGCTACAAGCATAATCAGTATGAACGGTTAGAGAAACGCTAAAACAAACCACAGTAACTGACTCCGCCCACCCCCCCCACCCCCCGAAAAAAAAAAGAAGAAGAAACCTATAGTATTACTAGTATTGTTAAAAAGAAAAAGAATGAACAATTAAATTATCTTCACCAACGAAATTATATTATCTTCACCAACATAACTAGTAATGTTATATCAACAATTTCCGTCCCCAACTGAGTCTCTTTCAATTCATCCAAGCTACTAGGTACTAACTCATTTTTACTAATGTGGGTGTCCGAGCTAGCTTGACGCACCTCCACTATTTAGGTACCTGCATTCTTCCAATAATACAGGTACCGGTAACTATGGCTAACATGGCTTAGATCGATGGAGAGAAATCAACAAAAAAAATTATCTGTTGAAATTTGAACCCCAGTCATCCGTTGTCTTTGTTTCAACTTCATCGACTTACACACCCTCGGTGCTCCAAGATCTTAGGTCAATTAATTGTCCTTTTATAATAACTATCATAACCAATCTCTTCTACCCTCACCACCCCTCACCAGAGGGAGTGTCCCAATTTCTCAAACTAGTTATCTACCAGAAGAGTGAGGATATTCTAGCTCAACCTGCTGAATAAAAAGATCAATGCTAATGAAGGAACTAATATTACATGCATGAAACTGATTATTCTACGGGAACCAGAATTGCACTCATAGCTGTAATCAGACAAATAATTTTCGGATTAACAGCTACTACTACTACGCCTCAATCCCAAACAAGTTGGGCTCGACTAAAAATAAAATGTCCCGGACCACCATGAGTGCAATTCTGACTTCCTCAACATAACCAAAGAAAAAAAGTGCCATAGTCTATGTAATAGAGAGCAATCCCAAAGGACTGCCAATTATCAGTTTTTCGTGGACAACAGAGAACTTACCTTTTGGAGCGTGAACGAGAGCGAGATCAAGAACGTGATCTTGATCTATGACCAGATTTTCCCCTTGAGTGAGATCTGTGTCCACGCCTTTCCTCTCTATCTTTGTCATAGGATTTTGACCTGTGTCTATCTCTTTCCTCTCTATCCTTGTACCTGTGTCTATGACCTTCCTCTCGCTTTCTCTCATAAGACTTTGACCTATGTCTATGTCTCTCATCCCTATCTCTATCTCTATCATAATCTTTCTGCCATCCCCGCCACCACTATACCTCCCACTCCGTACAGCAACAAGCTCACGTACGACACCATTTCCTTTTTGCCTCTGATTCCTCAAGCTTTTCGTTTTCTCTAAAATTGACTGTAGATACAGATATCTCAAATAAGAAAAGAATTTGCAGATAAACCTAGAACCAACATCAAAAAATCAAAAGCTTGAAACAAAGAAAGAAAAACCCAAAGAGAAAGCAACCAAAAACAAAAAAAGATGGCTAACAGAGGAAAAAGTATAAGAATTTACCTGCAAACTGCACCAGATGAAGCAACAGATCTAAGGTTACCACCTGAAAATCCAAAAGAAACGCTAGACAAAAAAATTGTTGATAAATTTGTTACCTTTCTATTTAAAAAACCCAGATAAAAGAACAATCAAAACAAGAAAAGCATACAAAACGAATCACCTCTTAACAATAATTAATTTGGGAATTTGGGGAAGGAGTGCGGGAGAAGTGCCGGAGCAGCAACTGTCCTTGAAGAAGTGCCGGAAAGACCGCCGGAACTGTCCTTGGGGTTTTGGGCTTTGTGAATTCTAGGGTTTGATTATTATGGTGGTCTAATGAAGATGCATTTGATGAAACTCGGCCATTAAACTCGGCAAAGATGAAAAAGAAAAAGATCAGAGAGGCGATTTTGGGTGAATGGACGAGGAGCTCCGGTGTTTCGACGACGGAGTACGTTTGGATACAATACTGGGGATACGTTTGGGACTTTGGGAGTTAGGCCAGTAATGTTAGAAATTAAAAAAATAAGAAAATGATATGTCACTAATTAGCTTGGCGGGCCACTAAAGTTTTCAGCGGAAAATACGAGGTAAATGAATACCCGTTTCCATAGAATCTTTTTCCCGAAACCGTTGCCATATACATTTCTATTGGGACGGTTAACAAATCCGTTGCGACACAAAACTCTATGGAAACGATTTTGTTACATTTGCAACGGTTTGAGGTATAAAGTGTGCTGATACCTCCCAAATTCTATTGTAACGGTTTGAACCGTTACTATATCACCTCTATGGAAACGGTTTGTGAACTGTTACCAAAAAAACTGTTCCCATAGGTCTATTTTCTAGTAGTGACTGAACTGAACAAAGGAAGCAAGGATATGAATACTCCCTCTTCTAAATGATGAACAACCTGTTTATCTTAATATTAAACTGCAGCCTTAGGCCCAATATATATATGTGCACAACTGCGGCCTCTGGCCTAATTATACGTATACATAACTGTGGCCTCAGGCCCAAAGATGCATAAACTCCGGCCTCAGGCCCAAAGATGCATAAAACATAAATTGCGGCCTCAGGCACAAGATGCACAAAGCATTAACTGCGGCCTCAGGCCCAAATACAGGTGCTCAACATTTGGGATTTAAAATGAGGAACTGAGATCATACTGCAATACATGATAGTGAAATACTGAATCACACTGAGTTACATGATACTAGAATACTTGATCACACTGAGTTACATAATACTGGAATGCTGAATAGGACTAGACTGAGACATATATTCTTGAACTGATTATGAACACTGAAACTTCAACTGTTTATGTCATACTGAGTAATCTATACTATGACTTGGGAGCATCAAACCCAAGTCTATATTGAATACGCACTGAGCTCACAACGTTCAGAATGAAAGTCATGAACGAGTTATGAAGCTAGAGAGTAGAAGTTCTACAACTATTCGTAAAAGAAAATAGTGTAGGGAGAATCATTAATATTTCCAAAAACAGAGAGTTATCTTCACATACCTTAACTTCCTGCTCTTGATGGTAATACAATGTTTGTCAACTCTTTCAACTTTAATCTATAACAATAAAAGTCAAAGGAATTCCATATTAGCTGTGATACTCATGTTTTGGACACTTAAGCATTTTATCAAACACTTGATGAGAATAAAGCTTCATAGTCCATATTAATGGTGTTTCTACACCCAATAACCTATTCTCTTGCTCCTAGATAAATTATAAAGTCTCAAATGGTTATAATCAACATCATTCTTCATCACCCATAAGGTAAACAACACCCTTAACAAATAATCAACAATCAACAACCCAAACCTATAATGCGTTCATGTTTTTCTATCAAACCCATCAAATCATATCTCATGAACTAGAGTCTATAATCATTAATCCAATGCTAGAATAAATTAGAGGGTGAAGACATTACCTTTTTGAAGTTCAATCCCCTTGAATTCGAGAGGGTTCCTTCTCTCAATAATGATGTCCCAATCGAATATCTAATGATATGGAGGGTTTACCCATGTTAATAAGATGTTGGGAAATTGAAATTAACTTAGAATCACCATTAGAACTTACCTTGGATGGTGGAGGGACCTTTAAGGAGTTAGGCTTTTGAGAGCTCCCCTTTCAAGAGCAAGTTTTTGTATTTTGGGGGTGTGAGGGACGAAGTAGGGCTTTAAAATGACCCCACAAGTGCGCCCTTGTGCACCTGAAGGCCTGACGGCGCACCTGACCATGCAAAATGGCAGTAGCACTGCCATAAGTGCGCGGTCGCGCACGTGACTCTCTGGGCGCGCACCTGGGCGCGCATATTGTGCATTGCTCTGTAAAACGCACATAACTTTTTGCACAGAGATCCTTTCGGGCTCCACAATATATTGTTGGAAAGATATTCAAAGGCCTACAAATTTTTGTTTGGAGTTTTCCTAAATTTGTCATACATTTTCACTAAATCCTGTTGGAAGACAGACCTTTTGTAAGCTTAGTCGATTTTGTTGAATCTTATGTACCTCACTCTCCATCTTGATTCTAAAACAACTATTTCTAGCCATACTCATCCCAATAGAACTTCACATGTCTATTACTACTTATTTAACACGTCCATACCTAAGCCAAATTTATGGGGTGTTACACGGATCCTGTCCAAGCAGTAATTTAAAGCCAATAAGGCCTACTACGTCATGCAGCCCGATAATCACATAATAATAATGATGATGATGATGATGATGATGATGATGATGACGACGACGATGATGATGATGATGATAATGATGATGATGATGATGATGATGATGATGATGATGATGATGATGATGATGATGATGATAATAATAATAATAATAATAATAATAATAATAATAATAATAATAATAATAATAATAATAATAATAATAATAATAATAATATGGCCTGTTGTGTCGTGCAACCCGATCCACAATAACACTCATCAACTCAGCCCTCAAGCCCACCCGAGTCATCAATCTCTCAAATCTCAAGGGCTCACAATCTCGTACTATTCAACCCAAACAATGATAACATGTGATGTAACAGTGAATGATAAACAGAGATATGATATACAAATATAGAATCATGACTAAGTATATAATTACAGTTAAAACAGGTAACTCAAAACAACAGAAGTAACCTCATTAGGTCTCAACCGAATAAGCACATAGCCTAAACATGATTTCTAACATGAATCACAACTCAACAACTCTAACAAGTAGGGATTACACAGATAAAACAAGACTTGATATCAAAACAGTACAAACATCAACCCAGATCATGATTACCACGGTGCATGCCCACACGCCCGTCACCTAGCATGTGTGTCACCCCAACATAACACAAATAACACATTTTCCAGGGATAATTACCCTCAATTCCAAGTTTATAAATATTACTTACCTCAAAACGCGCGAATCAGTACTCTAACAAGCCCTTCCCACGCGTATTGGCCAGCAAACGACTCGAATCTAGTCACAAATAACTCAATATTAACAAATAATACCTTAGGAAACAACTTCAAACAATAAAGTTCGATCTTTATCAAAATCAAAAAGTTAATTCAAAAAGTCAACCACGGGCCCGCACCTTAGAACCCAACAAAATTCACAAATTCCGAATACTCATTTAATTACGAGTCCAACCATACCAAAATCATCCAATTCCGAACTCAAATCAACCTTCAAATATCCATTTTTCATTTTTGAAAAGTCTATACAAATCCCCAATTTCTCTACTCCAAATCACCAAATAAATGATAAAAACAAGGAAAGAATCATGACAAATGAATAAATCCGAGTCAAAAATACATATCCTGATCCAAGACGTGAAAATACCTTACAAAATTGCCCAAAAAAAAGCTCTACAACTCAAAATATGATATAATAACTCTAACCCTCGAAATGAGAATTAATATAGCCTGCCCAGTTATTCCTCTTCGTGAACGCAGAAGTTTTCTCGCGTTCGTGAAGCACAAAACACACCAGCTGCCAAAACCTCCTATGCAAGCGCAATGCCCAGGTCACGAACGCGATACCTCACAGTGCTACTCCTACGCGAACCCGTCCCCTTATCCGCAAACATGAAGGCTTAAGGCCTGGTGCCCAAGCCGACCTCTCTCTTCTACGCGAACCCAGCTCCACTCCCGTGATCGTGATGCACTGTCCCTCTAAACCTTTGCGAATGCGTCACCTTCTTCGTGAATGCAAAGAACAAAACCACCTGCTACTAAATAACACTACGCGAATGCGACCACTATGTCATGATCCTGAAGAAGGATACACTAGACATGAGATCAGCAGCTCCTCAAGACCAAAATGAAATCGAACTTGATCCGAATCACACTCGAGGCCCCCGGAACCCCATCCAAATATACCATCAGGTCCTAAAATACGATAGAACTTAGTCGAAGCCTCAAATCACATCAAACAATATCGAAATCATGAATCGCATCCAATTCACGCCTAATGAAATTAATGAATTTCCGACTTCAAAACCAATGTCGAACCATATCAAATCAGTTCCAAATGACCTCAAATTTTGCACACTAGTCCAAATAACACAAGGACCTATTCCAACTCCCTGAATCAAAATCTGAATTCTATATGAATAAAGTCAACTCTCGGTCAAACCTCTCAACCTTCCAAACCTTCAACTTTCCAACTTTCGCCAATTCAAGCCAAAACGACCTACGGATCTCCAAATCAATATCCGGACATATGCCCAAGTCCAAAATCACCATATGAAGCTATTAGAATCATCAAAACTCCATTCCGAAGTCGTCTACACAAAAGTGAAACTCCGGTCAACTCTTTCAACTTAAGGTTCCAACCTTTGGACTAAGTGTCCAAATTCACTCCAAAATTTCTGTGAAACCAATCCAACCACCCCGGTAAGTCACATAGCCACAAATGAACATAGCAGAAGTGATAAATAGAAGAACGGAGCTACAATATACAAAACGACTGGTCAGATCGTTACAGTATCTTACCTAAGACTTCTCTATACTATATCAAATGAACTTGAACGGCCCGTTCAAAATTAATTTGATACGTATAGCTTAGAAGAAGGCTAATAGTTGGATCTTTGTACATATCTTCGTTCAGAGGCCAATTCAAGATTTCAAATTTATGGGAATTCTAATCGTTTTAAGTTACTGGGTTCTAAATAATAATTTATACATAGTCGATGAATTCTTTAAGACAAGTACAAAGTTCGAACCAAAGCTACTGAGTTTTGCCGATCCCGCTCCCTGAACTCTAGCTCTGCCCCGGTCTTCGTCGAAGAGCTTCTTTGTTTTATTTGCAATCTCATCAACTACAAAATCTTTTTTCTACAAGACTAGTCTTAGGATACGCGCTTTGCGCGTGGATCTATATCAATAATTTTGTTTTTTTAAATTTACGTAAATATTATTAAATTATGTATTTGAGGTATTAACCAAAAAATTAAAGAAAAAGATACAAATTCTCAAAAATGATAGGTGTTAATCTCATTCAGCTAGCTTAATAAATAAAGAAATTCTACTTGAAAGAAGGTTTTATTATACGTCTAATTATGATTTATGTGAATTTTTATGTGGAATATCTTATTATTATCATTATTATTATTATTATTATTATTTTATTATTATTGTTACCTAATTCAATAAACAAGTAACACAAAAATACTTTTACCACAATTCTTCAAAGATGGCAATACAAATTAAAGAATTTGAATCATTTGGTCTGTTAAAAATTTATGAACGAAGAAGAGGTTGATAAAAATAAGTCACAAGAGACTCTATTTATGAGAAAATTATGACTCCCATAACAAACTTCATGACTTAAATTAATGTCGTATAACAAGATTTCTCAACAATGCAAGTGGATTCATAACACTTTGTAGATTATTTCTTACAAGGATCTTAATTAAGGAGATCCTAGTTAGGAAGTGCACTGCACAATCGCAAAAGCAGTTCCCTAACAACTTAATTATACAATAGAATTAAATAAAATAAATATGTAACTACTTTCTCAACATAGAAGAATGAAGCTTCCTTAAACTGAGCAACAAATGGCAGCTCAAATTTTGATGGAGTCCACAAGTAGGGCATTAATGTGAGGTTTTAAGACCTTTTCCGGATGAGTGTATCCATCTAGATTGTGTATATATGTAACCTCAACAATACGAGCAAGATTGAGAATACGAGATAAAAACTCTGTAGATACAGGAGTGGGCTTAAGAATTCCTTCATTAAGATCCTTCCATGCTGCCTCTGCCATTTCTTGAAATTTAACCATTGCCTCTTTTGTTGATACATCATAATCTCTCATGCAACACTCAATTCCTGTTGCTATTTGTCCCCTACTTTTCTCAACCTATAAAGGCAGATAGATTAAGGGTTAGCTTTAATATGCCTCAATAACATCGCAACACTTATAGTTTGTCAACATCTCATATAATGATATAATATCGTGAGATACAACTCATACCTCGTACGTTGCTGTGTCATCAATAACTCGGCATATAATCACACTAGCTTCAAGAATTTTAGGATTCTTTGACAACCACTCAAAATCCTGATCCGTAGTAGACTTCATACCCAAGTATGATGTTGTCGCAAGGTAGTAATATGTAGTAGTTGCTAGTGCATTGCTTAGGTATTCAGAAACAGGTGGCATATATCCTTCAATAAACCATGTTGACTCAACATTATAATTTCTTACTACTTCTTTCATCTGTGAATACAAAACACATATGTTCAAGTGTTAGAAATTTCGGATTGAATTATATCAAGTTTCTGATTATTAAAAGACACACACAAGGTAAAACAAAGTGAGAAATGGATTAAGGAGAAAATGTATTTTGATAGTTAAGTTGCTCAAACATACTCTTTCTATTGCATGGCAGACAATATGAGATCTTCCAGCACTAGACAATTCCTTTTCATAATCCTTGTATAGATCTAGAATAGCTTTATAACTGATTTTCATGTAATCAGGAAGCCGTTCAATTTCATTGATATCCCATCTGCAAGATGACAAAATTAAGATAAACTCATGCATTTTGAAAGAGCACAATTATAATGAGTGAAGTTCGTCTTAATCTTTTCATGATGACATTCACTATTAAGGAATATCCGAATAAGTGAATTTATCAAGTTCATACCTTTGTATGGCATCTGTGTATGCCTCAAGTTCTTTAACTGTACCATAAGCATCAAAGGTGTCATCGACAATCGAAATCATTGATATGGTCTTAACGAGCATGACGC